AAAATCCCACGGGCGTCATGTAAAGTACCTCCAAATTTTAAACAATGATCTTCAAAATCTCAATGCTTCGACTCCATCCAGATAGACAGGGATTTCTTCAATTTGGAAAAATCTTACGCATGGTTTAGTCGCTAGTGATGTACAGACACAGAGGCACAGCCAGACACGGATGGGCGGACGTTTTGAAAAAACCAACATTTTTTGGTATCAGGGGACCCCACAAAGCATTTCTGTTCAAATCTCGCAATCGATTTTCAGCAACATTACATAACTTTCTCTTTACTACGTATATTACTCCATATATACGTACGTTTACGAGAAAGTAAAAACACAAGAACAACGAATGAATATGTGACAATGCTAACAGTACAAGTGATTGAGGAACGGCTATATTATAATTCATATCAATGACATTATTTAATAATCGAAAAACATCCATAAAAAGAGACTCGAATAAAATATTGTACATCACATAGGAAAAGGTCCTTTTCAGAACTCGACAGAATTCCCTGCCAGTCTCGGTGAACTCTTCCGTCTCCTCAAGAACAGATCGACTTTCTTGCGTTATGATGTAAATTACTCTTACAAGTGCTGAACAGCATTGAGCTTGGTCTACCGGATGTTGCAGCGCAGAGCCCGGGCGAGGTGGCCGCCAAGTGCGTGTGCCCGAGGCCGTGCGGCGGCGCGAGCGCGCCCGCGTGCGCGCGCGGAGCAGAGGCGGGCGTGCGGCGAGCGCAGCAAAGTGAGGGCCCGGTTGACGCCGCGTGCCAAGCAGAGGTAGCGCACGCCCGCCAACACGAACTAGGGACGCCAGCGACATCGCCAGCCAAACAATCACGTGTTTGGAACCTTACACGTAACTGTTAGTTACTATTAATGTTCACGGGGGAAGGTAATGTGACGGTGTTCGCGTTTATCATTGAAATAACAATTCGGACCATTCAAAAAGAAATGAGGATCGTCACCTCTATGCTCAACTACTCTAATTAATAACATCCAATAATAATCGGTTAAATAAATAAAACTGAAAATCATTTATATAATTGCAGCGCTATTAAATTAAAGAAGTAAGATAAATGAATATTGTCATGTTTATAATAGTTATCCTATAAAAGATTCGAAACCCCGCCTCTGTGAATTGCGAAGGAACAATGGTGGAATAAGACGTAGGGATAAAACGAGAAAACTTGTCACTAATCTGATTTGTGTATACTACAAATTCCATATGAATCGACATAGATACAAACCCCTTTCTTCAGAAGTGGAAGATGAGAAGTCAATCTAAGACACCTCTCCTCACCAATTCATCCCTCCCCCTTCCCCGAAAACGACTTTGTGTCTCTCAAGATTTCACCTAGATCAGTGATAATAAGGTCAGTAGCTCGTATAGCACCATCGTGGCACATTACGTGCTTCAGATCAGTACGTTCTCTCAGTTTTTCGACAGCAATATCGCTGTCAAAACTTGCATCGCCACCTTCAAATCCTGTGTTCGTATAAGGATATAAAACATTTATTCCGTTAAAATATGAAAAGTAAAAAATAAATGAAGAAAACTAAAATTTAAAACAAGTAAAAAACATAAATTATTAAGTAATTCCATATATTTTTCTTCCTCCTCACTAATTGTATCAGTCGTGCAAATTACTAAAGCTTCTTTCATTTCTGTTCTATTCTGGCGAGCTCGTCAACGTCCTAGACGAGAGACTTCATTGTACCAACCGTGTTACCAAATCTCAGTAATGGCAACAGCCCTGACATCACTGGCCTACGGTGAATGGCAAAGTTGTCACCTAAATGTAGGCGTTTGGTGGTTTTGGAACACACCTCTCACAAGAATATTTTGATTCATTGTTGTCGTCTTTGAAAATCCCAATGTCGTATAAAAATTTGAAGTGAATTATATTAAGCCATCAGCTCTTATCCCTTATTGCAGTGTTATTCAAATTATGAGGCGCACCTCCCCAGGAAGGCATGAAAGTGTCAGAGGGGAGGCGCGCGAATGTACCTTCCTTGATTTAACGAATGGGGGAGAAAATATTTGCATAACACGTGATTGCATTGCTCCCATGAAAGCATCATTGTCAATTAGCGGTGATTTTAAATGATCTCTGGCAGTTGGCGCAATAGAATACGGCTGCCTTGTGGCATGATTCATTCTTGCAACACTATCCAAATGGTGGTCTGTGAAGAATCAGTATCGAGGGTTAAGTAAGAAGACCTTTCGTGTTCTGACTTCTTTTCCCACTTCTTATGTATTTGAAAAAGAAAGTTCCGCCATGCAGGTGATCAATAAAAATATAGGTCAAGAATAAATTTCCACGAGGAGATGCGCGTACTGACAATTCTAAATTAGTGCCGAGATTTGACGGACGATAAACACGTCCATCCATCTCACTGACTTTTATAAACTGTCAGTATGTTCGTTTTTATAGTTTTTCTTACTTTGCCAAACATAATTTAAATTAATTAATTACAAGAGTGAACAGTGTAAATCACTTGCATTAATTATTTTGGACACTGTAAGTGTATAATAATAAAGTCTACATGATGGCCTTACTTTTAGGGAAAAATAGTTTGTTGTTAATTTTTATTAACAATTTGACTTCAATTAGGGAATGCGTGTGCAAAATTTGTTACCTGAAGAATGTCACAGCAGCAAAAAAATTGAAAATCACTGCCTCTTTGTCCCCAACGCAAAGGAATCAACTTAGAGCACCGAGAAAACCAAATACATTTAGGATCCAGCTCACACTTCACTACGTATGTTCTAGTTGGCGGCCAGGCATCGGCCATCGATTAACAAAACAAAATTTAGTCTGTGCAACGAAAAAGTTCCATTTTTCAAAATATATTTTTTCTCAGATCTTGCGGCGTTCGGAAAACATTTTTTGGTGGCAACATTAACGAATAAGATCTCCCAAATACTGTCTGGTTCCTCTCCAAAAAAGGAAAATTTCCGAGAAGACTAAAAGAATGCTAAAAGAATGTCGAGAACTTGTCAAATTATATTTAAAAATTACAATACAAGTACAAATTAAAGTACGTATTAATGACTAACATGATAAAACACATTAGGAGTTAAATGAAACGGCTAGTGAATGCTGTTTTCCAATTCAATCAGTTCTCATAAATAGTTTTAATCTCCCCCATTATAATATTGTTGTCTTTTCAAGATACGTTTCACCCTCTTTTCGAAAAATCTTATCGTAAATAAAGTTTTCCACCGTACTATCTTTGTCTATTTTTACCTAGCATTCCACGAGTTAACTTTTATTAACTACTTATCATTACTTTCTTGATTTTGACTGCTTCATTCTGAATCAATTATGAATTTATTACTGTTTTAAAAATTGTTTTTTATTAATGTTTCCATAGAATTCTTTATTATTCATCAATCGATTATTTCCGCCAGCATATTTTGGCGGAAAGTATGGATACTACTGTAAATAAAATAACACAAATGCATTCATTTACACTTGGCATGTCACCAGCCGGAGACGACATCACAGACAACAGCGATTGGGAACGAAGAACACGAGAAGAAAACCAAGGAGGCTTCAACAGAGTCTGCGACGAATGCAACGACGAGCGCCGAAATGGAGAGAGACATGAAAACGGAAGCATCGGCGGCGGCGGCGGCGGCGGCGGCGGCGGCGGCGGCGGCGGCGGCGGAAGAGGTTCGGTTGAAGGCGAAAGCGAGGGCCGGCGTGAGAGCGAAGAGGACGACGGCGAGGGAGGCCGATAGCGACGCGGGGCCGCGCGTGGGGGGCCAGCGCGTGGGCGTGTCCCTTCGCCAGGGCCGCGTCGTGTACCCGCTGCCCATCTCCCAGTGGCGCCTCAACCCCAAGGGCGAGCTCGAGCTCACTTGCGTCCTGCCCCGGCCTCGGCCCCGGCCCCGGCCTCGACACCGACACCGACCGCGGCCCCGGCACGGCCGCGCTCAGGTACGCGCTCAATCCCCTCCAGGGGGCCTTTCAACCTCCCCCCCCATTTGATGTGTATACAAACCTATCAAAACTTGTAAACAGAATTTTCTCACTAATAATAATAATATAAACAAAATAAAGAAATAAAATATTCTACTTCCCCTTTTGCAAGGTGGACCTCCTTATGACTCCCCGTCGACTGCACAATGGAGCTTATTGTCTTTTGAACATTTGATTCATGGTTATCCAATTGGACAACGAAATCACTGAAATGTTCGAATTAGTAGCTAGTTTATGAAGTAGATTAAAACACCTTAGATTTTTAAAACGGGCATACTTGTAAGAGCAAGCTTTATTTGTGGAGGCGTAAGTCTTACAAAGTACATCCCGTAATAAACATTACGCCGCTGCTGTCTTGAAATCAAATCGCATGGCGAGTCCGTTGCTCTGCTTTAACGGGTTTGTTAGATCTTCGGCTAGCAGCAAAAATTCCGGAAACGTTTCTCTAGTTCACTGTAAAAATCGCGCTAATCCCGGGTAAGGGCGTGTTCAACCGAGTTCAAACTTCTTCAGTAACAGATATAGATATCAATTTGTTAAATGTAACTAACCAAATTTCTTTACTATGTTCTAGTGAATTTGCCTTAATTTATGAAATGAAATAACTTTCGTGATAAAGTGCTGTTGATATCACAAATGAGTCGCAAATGTCTAAAAATGTGTACTTCCTATCCGCAGAAATAACGGCCGTACGATCGCAAATCTTTGCTTTGTACTATTTATGTCATTCATTATCTGCTTGCGACAATGTTACCTTTATTGATTTATATACTGCCTTACTTATACTACTGTTCTGCGGTGTCGATTATCGTCAAAAGGTCACACCGCCACGGGAACAAAAGAACCAACTGTTATCCCGTATTTCATAACTAGTTAGTGTTTCTAATTATTCATCAAAGTCATACAATTTATGAATTTGTCTTCTACTTGACCTATCTATTCGTATAAAAAGTGCAGTATTCAGATTAAAAACGAAGTTATTCCAAGCTTTATATTAAAATAGATCCCACAGAGTTTATAGACAATCACATTTATTTTAATCACACAGTCTTATTAGAACATTAATCACATCAATCTTATTAGAACATTATTTATTCAGATTTTCTGCAGTTTACAACGTTTTGGTCCTCATGCTGCATCTCCATCATCAGGTAAAAACAAGCACTGAAAAATATAAAAATGTAAAAATATAAAAATAGCAAATGACAGTTTATATATACATACTTTGACACATATTACAATGTTAGACAAGCAGAAGGCATAAGATGAGGTAGTTCTCATATGAAAGCCATTGATGCAAGAACAGACATAATGAACATAAATAATAAAATCTACAATTTACATAATAAAACTCATCCCAGAAGTAAAGGAAACATCAACAAATGACTATATCCAACTTGAATCTAAAGCCATGACAGAATGTTTCAATTTCGTGTATTTACTATTAGCAGGCGTCCATGGTGTGGACGCTGGCAAACTGAAAATATTGTGAGGGTACGAGTAGGCGACCAGGGACGAAGACAGTGGGTGGGGGGACGAGGGGAGGGGAGATGACAAAAGAGGGGAATAGAGCGTGTTTACCTTAACCCTCTAGGTTAAGGTAAACATGTTGAAATGGAAGATGAAAGACCACTAATTAAATTTTTGTTTAATTTTATACAAAATACTGTCATAGGCATTATCAGTCTTAGCAGGAGATTTAAATGCTCGAATTGATTGGCTTTCATATGTGTGCTGAGGTATGCTACCTGATCATGTGCCTTCTGCTTGTCTAACAATGTAATATGTGTCAATGTAAATATGTTATATATATATATATATATATATATATATAAATTTAACCGTGTTATTTTTATATTTTTATTTTATTTCAGTGCTTGTTTTTACCTGATAATGGAGTCATCATGAGGCTCGAAACGTTGTGAACAGCAGATAATCTGAATAAATCATGTTCTAATAAGATCAAATCTGTATGATTAACATAAATTTGGTTATCTATAAAATCAATGGGACCTATTTTTATATAAAAATACATTATAGACAATCAATATCATTACTAATTATTCGAAGCTTATTTTAATATACGTAAGAGAACAAGGTAAACCCCAGAAAAGCGAGTGGAGGATGGGTATAGATGTTGTGGGGGGAGGGGGAAGGGAAGGGGAATGTGGAGAGAAGGAGAGGGGGGCAAAGAAGGGGAGATGGAAACGAGGAAAGACGTGTGGGGGGCGAGGGGAGAGAGAATACGGGGAAGGAAAGGGAAGAACATGCGCGCGTGTGCACGCGCGCACACACACACGCACACACACACGCACGCACACACACACACGCACGCACACACACACACGCACACACACACGCACACAC